AGGGCAGAAATATGGGAGCTGCCATTGCTGACTTTTGTAATTTAAAATAAGGCTCCAGCTGAACATCCTTATGTTTTCATCTCTATATCACTTGTATGCAAAAAGCGTGTACATAACAGTTTTCCCAACACTTCACTGTCTACATGCTTATTTTGGGTCATGCAACTCTAAAATAAGTCAGGATATTTTTAACCTGACCGATCCCCTATAAATTGGGCAACACTGGTCACCAGAACAGGAAGTGAGAGAAATCGTCCCAATGGGGCCACAGATAGTTATAATAGCTGAAAGATGTTGTAAACCTTCCTGATTCTATCCACAACAAACAAAGGTATCATATTGACCCTAGGTTCACACCTAAGCATCTTCCGCAGCGGTTTGCAGAAACGCACTACAGTCCATTTAACATGATTTCCTATGGGACACGTTCATATCTCCGCTTTTTCACCCGGTGCGTTTTTTGAAAGGGTCAGGGATTTTTTTTTTTTAACTCCAAAAATTAGCATTTTTGGTTCTATAGACTTCAATGGAAATGCTGCAGAAAAGCATGTAGTGCGTTTTTGCTGCATTTTGTGATGTTTTAAATCTGCCTAGCAACAAGAGAGTAAAAAAAAAAAAAAGCATCAGAAACGCAGAAAAAACACAGGTGCAAAACGCAATGCAGAAACAGGTCAAACGCAACCTGCATGGGTGTGAACGTAGCCTAAAGTAGAGCTGAGTTATCTTTAGGTGTTTGTTTTGCTGATAGGCTTTTGCGCTTTTTGCTCTTTTCACATGCCACCTCAATACCTAGTAACTGTCAATGGAGTAAAGTATTGTAAGGGCTCCGACAGTGACATCACATCTCTGTATCTCTTAACCAAGTCATGTTTTCCTATTGACGTAAGTGGGATGTTATCTGTATTGATTACTAACTTTAATGCTTGACTGCTTGACCATAAGCATTATGGAGAATAATTACTAAGTGCGATATGGATTTTTCTTTATGCTGACTAATGACCCATAAACCACACTGTGGAATAAGAGGGCCTTGAGGTCATTTTATATACATAAATACACATTTTACTTTTTGTAAATTCTTTATGTACTAATGAAGACATGAAAACACCTGTTGGTGCTGTCAGGTAAGGTTAACATTACAAGTACAGGCGTACCTCGAACGCCTCGGTTCATGTAATTATCGGTTTATGAATTAAAATCCATTGAAAATAATGCCTCGGTTTATGAATTTTTTTCACAATGCGAACGGATTAATTAGTTTTCAATGCATTTACATGTGCCTGTACAGTACTATGCCTTTAAAGTGCACTTTATAAAGAGCTCTGAACAGAAGGCTTTTTTTTTTTTTTTTTTTTTTTTTTACTTTTTTCTGACCTCCGGAACAGATTAATTGGCTTTCAGTGCATTTACAATTTTTTTTTTTTTTTAATCATGTTCCTTTATGCCTTTAAAGTGGACTTTATAAAGAGTTTTGAACAGATAAGACTTTTTTTTTCGACTTTTTTCTGACCTCCGGAATGGATTGATTGGTTTTCAATGCATTTACGAATTAATTTGCAATCGTGTCCCTGTACAGTATTTATGCCTTTAAAGTGCACTTTGTAAAGAGATAAAAATACTTTTTTTTTTTTTTAACTTTTAACTTTTTTCTGACCTCCGGAACGGATTACTTGGTTTTCAGTACATTCCTATGGGAAACCGCGTTTCAGTTTATGAATTTTTCGCAAAACGAATTAAATTCGTAAACCGAGGTACGCCTGTATTTCCAAAAATGTGTGTTTTTTTTTTTTTTTCACTTTTGACAAATTGTGTCCGTTCATGCATCCAATCTGCATGACGTGAAAAACATTGCTTTCTATGGTGCCTGTTCACATATGTCTGGTGCACTAACGGTGTGGATTCAGTGCGGTTTTGAAAAAGAGTCCTGTCTGATTTCTGAGCAGTGTGGCCCGGTTCAGGTGCGGATTACAGGCTATTGATTGCAATGGGAACTGTTTCTAAACCGCACATGTGTGAACAGGATAAGATCCTGAGCTAATCCTGTCCTGAACCTGATGTAAACCTGACATGAACCGCTAAACAACTACTGTATCAATTAGCTGTGAATCCTGAGCTTCAATCTGCACCGCACATGTGTGAATCAGCTCCTAATGCTCATTGTGTTCAATAGGGCTTGATCACACGGAGGAGCTGCGACAAGCAGTGTCTCAAAAATAATCCAGCAGGCAACATTTTTACAGCATCTTTGGTAACGTGCAAAGTACACTCAGGTTGTTTGCAGATGCGTGGTGCAGTAAAGTGCATTTTGACTCTTGGGGAAAGTATGTATTTTTGGGGCTGTACAAAGGTTCATAAAGTATGTGTAAACCCTCAGCTTGTAAAACAACCTATTCAGGTTAAAACAGAAAACGTTTATGTATATGAGGTGCTATCAAAAAGTTTCAAGACTAGTTTTATAACAGATCAACAGATAGCAACACAAGCCTGCACACAGTCACAGGGAGCACCGACCTTCATAAATCAGTGTATCAAAAGACATCATCATGGGTACATTAGGAGCTGTACAACTGGTGCTATTGTGATCACTTCCATTACCACGTATGCTATTTCATCCTGGACAGCAAGATAGAATGGGATAATATGTTTTCCATCTGTTTACACTGTATTCCAAAAGGCTATGCAGTTGTAAACAAATCGGGCAGAAAGAGGCGGCGCCCTCTAAGTGCAGTATAAAAGCTTTTAATGGATAACAAGTGTAGTAATACAGGCCTCTCACAAAGCATAAGTAAGTTTGCGCTTGTAAATTAAGAAACCTCTGCTGTAGTGACGGAGTGTGAAGCCTCAGGATGGATGCTGGTCACCGGCATCTGGCGGTGGTGCTGGTGGCTTCCAGCATGTCCTCCTAGTTCCAGGATTCCCTCAGTTGAGATGTCACTTCCGGTCACGTGATGGTGGGGGTTGGCGCGCGTTCAGTGCATTCAGGCCTGATGAGGCTTCACACTCCTTCACTACAGTGGATGATTATTCATTTACAATTGTAAACCTACTTATGCTTTGTGAGTGGCCTGTATTACTACACTTTTATCCATTAAAAGCTTTCATACTGCACTTAGAGGGCACCACCTCTTTCTTCCTGATCTTCCAACAGGGCCTCTCTAGCTCATTATTGGCCAGCTGCCTCCACTCCATGGTGCATCAGAATTCCCTCTAGGACTCTAAGGACATTTTATTTGTATATTTATTACAGTCTACTGTTCATGATTTATTTTCCCTAATTCCATCACCGTTAATTCTATGCATTTTATTACATACTATTGTATGCCGTATCTACCTCCTTACTCCGTCTCGGAGTGCGTCAAATATCCTACTTGCCTTTTAGTTCTAAACAAATGCATCATAACAGTGAGTCTTCAGCTGGGATCCACTGTCAGTTAAGGCAAGGCTGGATGGAGGTTGTGGGGTATAAACAGACTGCGGAAGATACAGGAACGCCATGCGTCATCACAGCCTCCTTTTCTGGTGAACAGCAAGCCCCTGTATGCAAACTGTCCATGCAAGCTCATATCTGCTTCTGTACTTTTATGGTCAGTATAGGACAAGTAAAAAGGGGACTGGCAGGATCAACCAGGTAATTGTATTGAATGAATATGTAATAGATTAGACCAGGGGTGTCAAACTGCTGGTCCTCCAGCTGTTTGAAAACTACAAGTCCCATGAGGCATTGCAAGGCTAATAGTTACAGGCATGACTCCCACAGGCAGAGGCATGATGGGATTTGTAGTTCTGCAACAGCTGGAGGGCCACCAGTTTGACACCCCTGGATTAGTCACAATACACATTACAATCTGGCTGTACAACCTTTGCACAATCCGCTGTAGATTAACCAAAACCATGTAACCTTACTAGTGGTGCACCGAAATGAAAATTCTGGTGCCGAAATTGAAACCAAAAATTCAAAATGCACTTGGTCGAAAACCGAAACCAAAATGCGCAGTTTTTAAAAATTATTATATATTTTTTGGAAAAAAAAATACACTGATTAAAAAAAAAAAAAACATATATACCCAATTTTTTTTTGTAAAATATGAAAGAGGATGTTATGGCGATTAAATAGATACCCAACATGTCAAACTATTGCGCATGCTCGTGGAATGGCGTGAAACTGCGGTACCTAAAAAATCTCCATGGGTGATGCTTTAAAAATTTCTACAAGTTAGCAGTGTAAAATTAGAGGAGGTCTAGTGTGAGAATTATTGCTCTTGCTCCGACGTTCGTGGTGATACCTCACGTGTGTGGTTTGAACACCATTTACATACGTGGGCATGGCCTATGAATGCATTCACCACTATGTGCGCACGGGGGGGGGGGGGGCGTGGGCACTTTAAACTTTTTATTTTTTTTATTCATTTTTTTTAGGGGGGGGGGGGGGGGGTTTTTTGCACTGTCCCTTTAACAAAAAATGTAATCACTTTTATTCTTATCACAAGAAATGCATACATCCCTTGTGATAGAAATAACTAGTGACAGGTCCTCTTTATGGAGAGATATGGTGTCAATAAGACCCCACATCTCTCCTCTGCAATGTAAAACATTAGATCAAAAACAGCATTGATCTAGTGCTTGAAAGAAAAAAAAAAATTATGGCCGGAACGGGAAGTGACATTGCTCCAGTCCTCCAAGGGCATAGAGATGAGTGGCGGCCATTTTTCCTTCACTCGTCTCTATGCCCAGTGCCGGGATCGATGGTTTCTCAAGGAAGGCTGAGAACTACCAAGCGGCGGCAAGGGGCAGAGTTTTTTCGCGCCTGTATCATTGCTTTTTTCTTTTTTTTTTTCATTTTGGCCAGCGGTTGAAAGGGGTGTTTTTGCATCCCTAAACCTTACCACCTCCCTAATATAACCAATCAGGTTTGTATCCAATGAAACAGGCCCTTGTATTATATAGTTCTTGGTACAGTTAAAGATTGTACAATCAGATTGCAGTGTGTGGGGTGAGCATTAGACAGATATAAAACGGATAAAACACAAATATAAAAAAAATACCTTTTTAGGGTAATATACACTGAGCGGTTTAAGTGTTACTAAACCCACAACAGTAAAAAGCATGCTAGTTCTGCTCACTGTGGAACCTAAGGGGTTAATCCTTCACTTTGCGTAAAAAGGATGTTTGATCCTGTCTTCTCTGATCCTCCCCTTCTACTGTCCTCAATCCATCTGCTGATAGAACAGATCCTTGGAGGCAAGCCGCACTTGCTCAGTTTGGTGTGTATTGCTAGAGATTTATTTTTTCTTGGGAGAGTGCATGTGATCAGCACAGGGCCAATCGGCACTATCCAGACAGAGGGTCAGGGGTTATGTAGCCTCCTAGGATAATCAGGGGAGAGTGAAAACTCCAACATTTAACCAGTGCTTGGCGATACACTGATAGAAGTCATAAGACTGCTATATAAAGGTATTTAGCAGTTTATATTTACTACAATAATTTCATTTCCATGTATTATGTACTGTGGGAGACCAGATATAGTGAATGCAGGGTCCTGGGTTTAGAAACACTTTAAACAAGTGATTAGATAATAGGTTTAGGATATGGAGTGCTGGCAATAAATAATACTTGGGCAGCATGGCTACTTACAGTAAAAAGTAAAATCTAAATTTCTATACTGAAGAGTTATTTACCATTGATCTGTGATAATATTTAATAACACCAATTGTGGTTACTGAAAGTATCTTAAAACAAAGAACCTGTGGTTTATGCCTTCCCTTCCTAGCAGCCTATTTTACAACTCTGCTCGCCCCTTCTTGGCGGCTGTCATGGTAACCAGCATGAGCACGTTTCTAAAAATGCCTGGGTCAATAGTTCCGGCAAGGGTAGGTTGCTGTGGTGCTGTGTTAAAGGCCTCTGTAAAGCTGGCTGGCTGGTTTAAAGCAAAGTGTGCATACAGTATTTTCCTAGAATCTTTGGCAGACTTTAGCACATTAATAAAAAAAAAACCTCTCAGGATAACAGTGGGTCCAGATAAGAATGAAAAAGGTTTCCTGATAATGACATTAAGGTGGATTTAGTGAAAATGAAGGCAGGGAGTACATTTTGTTGCCCATAGCAAGATATCAGATTCCAGCTGTCATTCTTCTAGTGCAGATTTGAAAATGAAAGGAGGTATATGATAGTATGGAAAATACATACTTTTTTTTTTTTTTATTTATTTTTTTTTAACAACCCTGATAAATCTCTATTTTTATTAAATCCTGGCATGTGTGCATAGATACAAAATGATCGCCATTACAGTCCTTTTTTTTTTTTTTCTTTTTTTACTTGATTTTAATTAGTCACACACACAGATTAGGCCACCCAAACAGTAAAGCTAACATCCGAATAAGCCGATAATGTCTACATACAAATGTGAATTTTTACTTGCACCTTGGTGTGCTTCCTGTATTTCTTAATCGTACATCACAGGACACAGAAGAGTTAATATTCATGACTACTTGGGTTATGCTGCAGACTAGGGATGTCAAGCTGGTGGCCCTCCATTGCAGAATTACAAGTCCATCATGTTTCTGCCTGTGGGAGTCATGCTTGTAACTGGCAGTCTTGCAATGGCTTTTGGGGCTTGTAGTTCTGCAACAGCTAGAGGGCCGCCAGTTTGACACATGTACTGTAGACACAAAGAAAAGACTGCACCACACCTGTCCCAAGCATATTCCTCTTGTTCCCTGTCTCCACTGTGTGCTGCCTTTAGGAGCTCATCCTGCTCAGCCCATATGGTAGAAATGAAGGACAAAAGCGACACTTCCAGCATATTCCTCTGGTCCCTGTCTGCACTGGGTGCTGGCTTTGGACAGTGGCCAAAAATATCAGGAATTCCAGCCCAAGTATAACCCGTCCTAGTTGAGCCAAGTCTAGTCCCCATCCGCACTGGGTGCTGGCTTTAGGAGCTCATCCTGCTCAGTCCATATTGTAGAAATGAAGGACAAATCCATACTTCCATAAAGAATCACCATGAAGTTTAACCAAAGCAGTTGGCTTCCAAATAGTCCGCACCTTAAGACAAACCCCTATGATATGTTGGCCTTACTCTACTTTGGGTATGCTGCTGCCTTCAGGTGAATGGACAGTGGCCAAAAACAAAGCAGTAATCCCAGCCCAAGCATAACCCAAACCAGTTCAGCCAAGTCTAGTCCCCATCCGCACTAGGTGCTGGATTTAGGAGCTCATCCTGCTCAGCCCATATGGTAGAAATGAAGGACAAAGATGCACTTCCATAAAGAATCCTCATGACGTTTAATCAAAGCAGTTGGCTTCCAACATAGTCCCCACCTTAAGACACACCCCTATGATGTGTTGCCCTTACTCTACATTGGGTATGCTGCTGCCTTCAGGTGAATGGACAGTGGCCAAAAACAAAGCAGGAATCCCAGCCCAAGCATAACCCGTACCAGTTCAGCCAAGTCTAGTCCCCATCTGCACTGGGTGCTGGCTTTAGGAGCTCATCTTACTCGGTCCATATGGTAGAAGTTAAGGACAAAGCCGTACTTCCATAAAGAATCACCATGTAGTTTAATCAAAGCAGTTGCTTCCAACATAGTCCCCACGTTAAGACACACCCCTATGATGTGTTGGCCTTACTCTACTTTGGGCATGCTGCTGCCTTCAGGTGAATGAACAGTGGCCAAAAAGGCTGGAATCCCAGCCCAAACATAACTCATCCCAGTACAGCCAAGTCTAAGATTTTAGCTAGTGTGCTTAGGTGATGGATGTGTCCCCTTGTGTCTCTCTGAAGATCTCTTTCATGGGCTTGGAATTCCATATATCTTGGCCTGTTCCTGACACCACTGATGGGAAAGATGTAGACTTTATCTGGATCAGTATCGTAAATGGGTCAGTGCTGCATCCCGTGGACGGTGATCTTCAGGGTACAGTTTATCTAATGAACTCAACGGCAGGGTGCTCTACATGTCTAGAGCGGTAATCCCTCTGGAGAGAAGTTAAATCCCTAAAGATCCTATGAGGAACACCTGCTGTGGTGGGTGAAGGTTGGGCTAGTGAGTGCCTGCAAATGCTGATCAGTATATTCTGACATTGGGGAAGTCCCCCTACTGTCAGAATACAACACAGCAGGAGGATTCGCCCATCCAAATTGACCGAGTGATTAATGAACTCGTTACTTTTTCTCATTCAACCCATTGGCTGAATGAAAAAACTGACTCATCTATGGGCTGCCTTAGGCTGACACCCCTCTCGCCTTGGTGACTGCTTCACTCTGGGTTCACAGACCATTTTTAACCCTTGGAAAGCCATGGCTTCACAAAGCTGAGAGATGGAGGGCTCAAAGGTCCACTATCAGGTAGGAAAGACACCCTGCAGTGGCTCCCCAATGGGTCAGATTAGCTTTGAATCCATGCCCTTTATCCAGGCACAATTATCAATTTCCTCTACTTCAAGGGAAGAATTTTTTTGCAGCCATGTGGGCTGCATGATAAGCCCTGAGGGGTTCTCACTGGCTTGAAACGGGGCATGCAAATGTAGGTGCTCACCTTCCCCTCCACCCCTTTGGAGAAAATTCCCCAGGATGAGAAAGGAGGTGGACACTTTTGAGGATCAGGAATGCACAGTGTTTGAGTTCACCCAAAGGCATCTCGGGATCCAGGGCTGTCTCAGACCCAGAATACCACAGTTCTGCTGGATGTAGTATGCACTAGCCTTAGTTGCCAATACTGCAACTCCCTTCCCCTAAAGTCACTGGTTTTAGGTCCTGGTAGCCACCAAAAGATCCCAATTTCTTTCCTGTGCACCCTCATTTACAAGAAATGATGTATGCTGATTAGGCTCACCTGGAGAAGATATCAGGTCAGAAACCTGCAAAACCTTTGGAATCCAAGAATTGGAAGCAATGAGGCTTGAGCTCTAAGCAGAAGCCTACTTCACAGTTTCAGAGAGAGAAAAAACTGAACCTCCCAAGTCTTCCAGTTCCAGAAGGAACTACTCACAATGTAGTGGCACCTGTCTGCCTGGACTTAGAAATTCAGACAACTGGGTCTGCAGCCTTGTGCCCAGAGGTTACAAGCTAGAGTTTCCCCTTCTATGCCCTGTGTCCTGTGATGTACACCAATAAAAAAAAAAATACAGTTAAGCCTGTGTTCACACTGATGCAGTCCAGAATTTGCGTTTTCTGTGCGAATTGTGCACCGCATCAGAATCGCACCCCGTTCATGCAAACTGCTGCGGGTGTGTATGTTAACAACGCGAAATCGGTCAGCAAAACACGGTGCGATGTGCAGAATTGGATCACATAGGTGTGAATACCCATGCGATCCGAATTTCTAGTGCAGACCAAAAAAAGGGTCCTGCACCTTTTTGGTGTGGTGCGATTAGAGTCATACAAAATGTATGGCTCCAATCACACCATGCACAAATTGCATGTGATTTGCTCAGGAATTTTGTGCGGTTCCTGTGCGAATCGCATGTGATGTACTACACCGCATGTATGTGAATCCGGGCTAAATTAAAAATCCTGATTTCTTACAGATCCATGCAGAAATTCAGTGCAAAACTTTGTAGAAGCTTCATGTAATAAAGACCAGTTGCTGCTGCCCTCTCTCCTTGTGGAGGGTGACTGGTCTTGTATCTGCCCCTCCTGTAATTTTTTGCAGGCAGCCTGTAGTGGGTGGATCTGTTGGGTCACTATACACCTGCAGCTTTAATACACAACTGAAGAAACACATATTGCAATGTGAACAGAAGACAATACGCAGTATTGTTTAATTCTGCCATTAAAGAGAACTACAGCAGGTTTTGCTCTGGCACTGCTGCCACATTCACAATCTCATTGTAAAAACATACTAAGTTCCATTATGCCACAGTGCTTGTTTATTCATAGTTTAATTTGTCACTGAACAAAATATACAAGTTTTCATATAGTCTATAAACAAAAAAAAAATTTAGATTTTCAGATACCTGGATTATTAATAGGAATTACGGGGAGGGTGTAGGCGATACAACTTTGTGCTAGAAATTGAGGAGGCAGAGGTGAGAAATGGAACTGTTTATATATGAGTCTGTAATCTGCCACAAACGGAGTGACTAATTGCTAGGTTATAATTCTACTAGTAATGGAAAGGATCACAAAAGCCAGAGGTAGGCAAGCCATGATTCTACAGATCCTGTCCAAAAAACCCAAAATATGCAGCTGGCAAGAGGCTGGTGACTTCTACAGGTCACTGAACAGGTTAATTCTTATCAGACATACCATGTGTACAATGTATTTTGGCCTTGTTCAAACATAGCAGCAGTTTTTTGTACCATGTCAGCCATCAATTAAGAAAAATTTGGAGGTCAAGCAGTCTGTAGCTAAATAATTTGCAGTGTGAATATCTTGTATGAAATTTGCAAATAATGACAATGTTTGTAATATACATGAAATGTCAGTTTTAAGTTGCATTTTGCAAGGAGATTGTAACATTCTCCAAAATTAGGCTGCTTTCACACTGATCCACCGCAAAAAACGCATAGGTGTTTTTACCGCGCTGTTTTTAAAAGGACACGTGACTTAAAAACTGCACCAAAAACGCTTCCCAGAGGCGTTTTCAGGCATTTACATTGATTTCAATGGGAAGAGGTGTTTTTTTGGGGTGTTTTTTTTTTTTTATTCATTAAACATGCCCCAAAATGCTGCAAGCAGGAGTTTTTAAACCGCATCGTAAGCGCAACGCCTCAGTATGAAAATATACATAGAAATACATTCACATATATAGAGAAGCATTTTTCTTGCACATTTCAGGCACTTTTTTTTTTTTTTTTTTTACGCAAAAAACTGTTCAAAAACTCCTCAGTGTGAAAGTAGCCCTAGAGAAAATAGCCCTAGGAATATTTGACAAGAAGGGTTAACAACAAAGAAACTAAAAACAAAACATTGGAAATAGCCCGAGTAGGCTAAGAATATCGAGCAGGGGAGGAAACAAGAGGGAGACCTCTGCATTGTAACCTAATGGGTGTATTTATTTTTTAAAATGGCATGCTATTCCTTCTGTGAAACTGCATGTCTATCTGTTTTATGTGAATGGGGGCAAATGTTAACAGGCTACTTTGCTTCCAGTTCAAATGTTTTTTTTTTTTTTTTTTTTTTATTATTTATAGGGAAAGAGTTAATCTGGAAGTAAATGCTTCATGAATCTGTCATTACACAAGATAGCCACCAACAGAAATGCTAGAGTTTTTTTTTTTTTTTTTTTTTTACGCACTTGCTGCCTGGCCTATGGTCAAATGACAGCCGGGCGAACACTTCGTCCCTCTGGTAGGGCATCATATGACATCTTTCCTGGATCGCGCTTTGCGCATGCCCGCAGGGCCGCACTGTGGAGAGATCTGTCACCGGCTGTGTACCTCGGACACGGCCGATGACAGATCTGTGTACTGGCCCAGTTACCATGTGACCTGCTGTGACCAATCACAGCAGGTCATATGACAGTCGTATACAATGGATGGCTTCCTTTCATGCCATCCATTGTATACACGGGTGTCTAGCTGTGAATGGTCACAGCGATTAAAAGCACAGGCTGGGCCAATCACAGCCCATCTGTGTCATGTGATTAGCCGTGGCCAATCACAGCTAATCACACCTGAAAAAAAATCTGACTGAATCGATTTAATTCAGTAAAATGCTTGCTTATAGCAAATAAATTCTTTGCTCTATAATCAAATTGTGTAAAAATAAATAAAAAATACTGATTTCTTCCCCAAAGTAGTACAATGTTGCTATGGTAACATACTACTTTGGTCATAGTGCAATATGAAAAACAAATCTTAAAAAAAAGAAATTTAATAAAAAAGATTGGTGACAGTTCAAAAAAAAATGTATTTTTCAGTCAGTGTCCCTGATCAAAGCCACACCAGTTATATGCTGACGCTGTACTGCACTATGTAAAAAAAAAAAAAAAGTGTAAATTTTTTTAATTTCTTCAAAAAACTTGCCATGCCTCTTATGAAATATGTCGGACTGTCTACTTTGCAAAAAGGGGTCATTTGGGGGACATCTGTACTGATCTGACATTTTTGGGCCTCAAGAAATTAGATTGGCTGTCAGTACTTCAGGACTGATCAATATTCAGATATATACCATAGTTTGTGAACTCTATAACTTTCCTACAGACTAATAAATACTGATTTGGGTTATTTTCAACAAAGAAATGTAGCATGTAGCAGAATACATCTTGGTCTAAATCTATGAATTATTTATTTGCAAACTTTTATAACAGAATCAAAGAAAAACGTGGGATTTTTTTTTTCTAAATTTTCGGTCTTTTTTTGTTAATTTTAGCAAAAAATAAAAACCCCAGGGGTGATCAAATACCACCAAAAGAAAGCTCTAGTTGTGTGAGCAAAATGAAAACATTTTAGTTTGGGTACAGTGTTGCATGACCGCGCGCAATTGTCATTCAAAGTGTGAGCGTGCTGAAAGCTGAAAATTGGCCTGGGCAGGAAGGGGGTAAAAGTGTCTGGTATTGAAGTGGTTAAAGGGATTTCTCAGCAAGATAAAGCATGGAGACATGGGTGGATGGGGGAGTTTGCTTTGAATATTAAAAATGAATTAAATAGATTGTGAGCTCCAACGAGCAGGGCTCTCTGATTCCTCCTGTATTAAATTGTATTGTAATTGTACTGTCTGCCCTTGTATTGTAAAGCGCTGCGTAATTTGTTGGCACTATATAAATCCTGTATAACAATAATAGCTTTTTTGATTTGTGGTGCTCAGATGCAATGTAGCAAATTTTTGTGTAATAAATCGCCTACTGCAAAATGAACTGTTCTACAGTGACACAATGTCGCAGGACACAACTGTCTTAGCTTACCAAAGGTAATCAACAGAGTTCTGTCTCCGGAGCACTATCAATTCTGTATAGCAGTTCACTCTCTGCAGTAGCTGATTCATTAGAGCAGTGTTTCTCAACCTTTTTTTTTTTTTTTTTTCAGTCAAGGCACCCTATAAAATTGTGGACAATGTCGAGGCACCCTTTAAAATTATGGATAGTCTGGAGGCACCCCATTCTAAAATGTGAAAAACTATTCCAATAGTTTTATATAACACAGCAACGTCCACACATGTAGGACACCCAACATTGGAGGTGATTTATTCTTCCAAAGCAAATACACTTCTGCACACTGGTACTAACTAGTATTCCGTTGTTTCTCTTCTCCCTCACTCAGCTAATGTGACCCCAGCACTGATAGAGAGGGGCAGGGGAGAGTCAAACTAGGGTGCTGTGCAGGCAGCTGACATCCTCCTTATCTGATGTCGTTGTTTGTCAGGTTGCTGGCGGCTAGAAGGTCATAATGGTTCACAATGAAAACCTGTGGCTTTGTGTACCTAAAAGGCAGGCTTGTTCCACCTGCTGGCTTGTATACAAGTTTTGGGCAATTTTTTTTTAGACATTTTTCCAAGGAACCCCTGAAGAAACCTCAGAGTGCCTGGGCACCTGTGCTTGAGAAAGGCTGCATTATACTGTCAGTGGTAAGCACAGGAATCTCCACTTTCTCAGCAGATATCTTCCCCTTCTCATAGAATGTTCTTAACCTGCCAAGCTATTTTCTCTATTTGTTGAAAGTTCTTAAGGCTATTCATTCTTGGGAATGAATGTCAAGGAATGTTACATCTGCCTGGCAAAAGGCAACAAACAGAAACAGACATTTTACACATATTGTAATCACAGGAATTATTTGTAACTTTTGCATGCATGCTAAAACATTTGCACACTTAAAAAAAATGTTCTTACTATAAATAGACCCCCAAGTGAAACGTATTGGCTAGCTTAAGTCCCGTATATACAGGCTGAATATTGGTCAGTTTAATAGAACCAGGCTGATTCTCGGCCCATGTGTACACCCACCTGTCCGACAGAAGACAGCCAAATGGGCATGCTGGTATCTGATCAGTACTGGCAGGCAATGGATGCCAGCACTGACTGGTGTGTTCATGTGTCAAGAAAAAAACAGTTGTATGCTTTAAATGTTTGTGTTTTTTTTTTTTAATTGTTCCTTTCTATATAAATATGTAGGTTTCAGAACCATTTTCATAAATGTATAAAGCTTGAAGAGGTGTGAGTTATCCTGAAAGCTGGAATCTTCACCAAGTTAAATAACTACGGTTAGTTTACAAAAAGAAAAAAAAACAGTAAGCAGCTCTGACCTGTGCACAGTCCCTCAGTGTCCTCATGCCCAATGTAGGGATATGATCCCTGCATTGTACTTGATATGAGAGGGCATGTGAACACTGGATTGTAGGGCAGAAGAGGTGGAGGGAGCCTTCTAGAGACCAAGTAAGTAAAACAGTTTTCCAGTACCCTAGACCTAAATGAGCTTTTAACTCTTGCAGTGCCTGGGGCAGCACCCCGGCAAGGGAGTATTTTTGTTTTCCCCGGATTTCAGTTTTAAGTGTAGTAACCCAAAGCAGCCAATCAGCCTTACTTCAGAAGGGTGACAGTGCACTCACACTGGGTACGGTTGAACCAAACCATGTCCATTTGCCTGTCTTCCCTCCCCTGCTGGTCTACCTGCACACTGTGCCTTAAAATAAGTGTTTCTAGGTACATTTGTATACAGACCACACCGATACTTGATTGTGTCATAATATATATATATATATCATCCCTGTGCACATTAAAACTGCCAGTGTGTGGTTGCATCTCAAATTCTGATCTGTGCATTAAGGTGTGGGCAAAGCTTTTTTTCCTCCTTGGTCATACTTCTGTGTGTCACATTTACCTTTTCTCCCCTGTGACTGTCACTGCTCTTCACTCTGAAAAGACTGAGAGCTGAGTGATCAACAGCTATGTGATCAGTCTGTTCTCAGTCTTCGAGAGCCAATTTGGGACAGCTGCAGCACAGAAGTGAACGTGTGGGTTTTTTTTTTCTTTTGTGATCTACCCATACATCTCCTGCAGGCCTCATGCACATTAGCCCCTTTTGGGTGCCTTTCTCCTGACGAGAAAAAGCAGCAATAAAAAAAATGCACCTGTGTTTTTCAAATTACTTATAGGCATGTTTAAATGCTTTAATGTTAAAGCAGAACTCTGGTTACAAATAGTATTTGAAGCTGTGCCCGCACTGCATGGTTTAAGTGCTCATTTTGTCCAGGGGCTCAGGGAATAGCTAAATTACCCACTTCTCTGATCCTCCGGAAAACTGTGCTCACCCTCGTCCAGGGGGAACCCCCCCCGATCAGTAGTACAGACACTTTTAGTAACACTATTTACTAAAGCTGGAGAGTGCAAAATCTGGTCAACTCTACATAGAAACCAATTGGCTTCCAGGTTTTATTGCCAAAGCTTAAAGTGATTCTAAAGGTTTTTTTTTTTTTTTTTTTTTAAATAACAAATGTGTTTATACTTGTCTACTATGTGCAGTGGTTTTGCACAGAGTAGCCTAGATCCTGTTCTTGGGTCCCCCACAGGCTCTCCTGTCTGTTGAGTTCCCCCAAAGCAAACGGCTTGCTATGGGGGCACCCGCTGCTTGTGTGTCCATTCACACACGAAGCCATGGCTTAGCCCCACCCTCTCTCCTCATTGGCTGACTGGCTGTGATTGACAGTAGCGGGAGTTGATGGCTTCCGCTTGCTGTCTCAGCCAATGATGAGAGGGAGTCCCAGGATGGCTGACACTCCAGTTCACATCGCTGCATCTCGAGAGGGGGCTTAGGTGAGTATTAGAGGGGGGCTGCTGCTGCTGCACACAGTTTTTCACCTTTAGGCATAGAATGCCTGAAAGTAAAAAGCCTTCCACCTTTTCAAGCACTTTAACACCCCAGTCCCATCAAGCCCGACTTTGAAACCATGCGACTTACGGTGAAGTTGCTCGATTTCAAAGTCAGGGGACATGCTGTTTTCAGGTGCAATTTGTAAGACATCCAGATGTCTATACAAATTGCATCAACAGTATTGCATGTACTACTTTGTCAGAACCGCACCAATTTGACTGCTCTAATTGCGGACAATAGGGTGTGACTTGGCATACGCTTTGTAAATCGCACTCCATGTGACCGGGGTGTAAGTGAACAAGCTGATGGTAGAAGCTGATTGGATACCATGCACGGCCACACTAGATTTTGCATTCTCCAGTCTTAGTAAAGCAACTCCACTGTGTGCTCTGTGCCGACTTCCCCATCCTAGAATAACGGCGGCTGATGGAACGGTTCCATTCACCTTCCCCGTGTGTCTCTGACATCACCGGCACATGCCAGCCCAGCTCCACTTTCCCTGTCTGATCTGTAGAAACACTCTGCCTATGGAATCCGTCCAGCCGTAAATATGCCGAGAATCCCAGGGAAGCCTCCCGGCCGTGCTATATCCGACGTGTGATGACGTCCATTCGAGGTCTCCCCTCCCCTGGCTGCTATTTCAGGGCCGTGTCCCTCCAGCCGCGGCGGCTAATAATAGCAGGCGGGCTATTAATAGATCAAACAATGCGGCCTGCGTCATAGGAAACAGCGTGCGTCACCGCATACATTCCAGGCTACGCTGAGCCGGAAAAACCACGCCTCCTCCAGCCTTGTATGGAGAGCGGAGCAGAATCACCCACGTGCGTCATACACCCCCCTGTGTATGGGCCACGCCTACAAGTGCGTCACAGAGGCTTTAATAGAATGTGGATGGAGAAGTAGGAGCTCAGTAAGCTGTGCAAGCTGCGGGGAGAACTGAGAGGGAGAGCTGGCAGAGCCCGGGCACCATCACACTGCAACACCCCGCGGACAGCCCGCTCCGGGGACATCCAGCACACGCAACTGGTATGTCACCACCTGTCACCGGGCACAGCCATCGCCTCCCCGCTGTCACTGCGATGTGCTCAGGTTTGCATTGAGTGCGATTGGCGATCTGATGGGTGTAGGATGAGGAGATGGCAGCATCGGCGGTGCGGAGAATCTAGCGGATTATTTGTATGCATTGATCTCCATGGTGTCCGATTGTCCCCAATCAATGTCACTGTTCCCAGCGGATGTTGCGGCGGGCACAGGCAGAGCAACAGGTGCACATCCATAGAGGCATGTCCTGCAACACCCACCATCCTCATAGGGCAGGCGATGGGGTTGTCATGATCAATGAGGAGTATGCTGCATGATAAATGACTTCACTAATGAGCCCTATCCTGGGCTAGCTGTTGGCTCAGGTGCTGGGCTCAGTGTTGGGTCTGGTGCTGGGCTAGCTGTTGGCGCAGGTGCTGGGCTAGCTGTTGGTGCGGAAGCTGGGCTCGCTGTTGGCGCTGCTAACAGCATTTGTTGGTGCAGGTGCTGGTCTAGCTGTTGGCGCAGGTGCTGGGCTCGCTGTTGGCGCAGGTGCTGGTCTAGCTGTTGGCGCAGGTGCTGGTCTAGCTGTTGGCGCTGGTGCTGGGCTCGCTGTTGGCGCAGGTGCTGGGCTCGCTGTTGGCGCAGGTGCTGGGCTCGCTGTTGGCGCAGGTGCTGGGCTCGCTGTTGGCGCAGGTGCTGGGCTCGCTGTTGGCGCAGGTGCTGGGCTCGCTGTTGGCGCAGGTGCTGGGCTCGCTGTTAGCGCAGGTGCTGGGCTCGCTGTTGGGTCTGCTGCTGGGCTCGCTGTTGGGACTGCTGCTGGGCTCGCTGTTGGCGCAGGTGTGGGTTCGCTGTTGGCGCAGGTTTTGGGCTTGCTGTTGGTGCAACTGTTGGGCTTGCTGTTGGTGCAGGTGTGGGTTCGCTGTTGGCGCAGTGGTGCTGGGCTCGCTGTTGGCGCAGGTGCTGGACTCGCTGTTGGCGCTGCTAACAGCATTTGTTGGTGCAGGTGCTGGTCTAGCTGTTGGTGCAGGTGCTGGTCTAGCTGTTGGTGCAGGTGCTGGTCTAGCTGTTGGTGCAGGTGCTGGTCTAGCTGTTGGTGCAGGTGCTGGTCTAGCTGTTGGTGCAGGTGCTGGTCTAGCTGTTGGTGCAGGTGCTGGTCTAGCTGTTGGTGCAGGTGCTGGGCTAGCTGTTGGCGCAGGTGCTGGGCTAGCTGTTGGCGCAGGTGCTAGGCTAGCTGTTGGCGCAGGTGCTGGGCTAGCTGTTGGCGCAGGTGCTGGGCTAGCTGTTGGCGCAGGTTTTGGGCTAGCTGTTGGCGCAGGTGCTGGGCTAGCTGTTGGGCTCCCTGTTGGCGCAGGTGTGGGTTCGCTGTTGGCGCAGGTGTGGGTTCGCTGTTGGCGCAGGTTTTGGGCTTGCTGTTGGTGCAACTGTTGGGCTCGCTGTTGGCGCAGAGGTGCTGGGCTCGCTGTTGGCGCAGAGTGCTGGGCTCGCTGTTGGCGCAGAGGTGCTGGGCTCGCTGTTGGCGCAGGTGCTGGGCTCGCTGTTGGCGCAGGTGCTGGGCTCGCTCTTGGGCTCACTTTTGGAGCAGGTATGGGTTCACTGTTGGCGCAGGTGTCGGGGCTCGCTGCTGGGGCAGGGGCTAGGCTCACTGCTGGGGCAGGGGCTGGGTTCACAAAAGCTGTTGTGCTTCTTTTCCACCTGCAGCAGCACAATGACCTTCCTTCTCCAGGCTTGGCTTTATAATTTCATATGGCACTAGATTGTACTGCTATTGCACTCTGTTCAGTATCATTTTATAGGATTTGAGGGCAGAATTGTAACTTTTCAGGGAGGGCTGTCTATCTGGAGCATCAGAGCCATGTCCTTCATATAGCAAGCCAGCAGCAAACCCTATCATAGACCGTACCTAATGACTAGGAGTGAATTCACAAGCTGTTAATGTGTGCAGCTTTTAGCAAGTGAGGTGCATGGTGTTGCTAAAAGAAGACCTGGAGACCAACATGTACTGTGCTGAGAGATCTGCAGGATACTCTTGCTCCACTGCCTCTGAAATGCTAGCCGCCTGGCTGTCATTGTCATTCAGTAGTCTGGAACAAATATTCAGCCAGTGAAGTTGGAAGTATAGCCAGAATTCCTGATCTGCATACTTCTTGCAGGTCAAGGACTCATCGAGTATTTGAAGCCATCGGATTAGCATCACAGCTAGGCAGCTAGCATTTCAAAAGGGCAGGTCTGGAATGGCAGCTTTCCTCTGTGACCGTTTTGCATTGGGAATGGTGTAGTAGCCTATTGACATAAATGGCAAACTTATATTGCTAGAGAAGATCTGAGTTCAGCATTCTACAAGGTGGGTTTGTACCAAGCGGTTTCCCTCTTTTATAAGAAAAGGCTAAGAAGCATTATAGAGCAGTCTGGCCTATCAGGAGCCAATCTTGTGCTCCGCTTTTGTGTTTCTGTGCAAAGTGCTTTCTTGGCTCAGCACAGCCTCCTCATGCTTCTGGCATTTCCTCCAGGGAAAAGTCTAACCTATAAGGCTTATAAAACCATTTTATTGTGCTGGATTACAGTGTTGTTTGTCAGCTGCTATACAACAAAAGTAGCGGTTTTCCTAGCAGCGCAGCCAGACATTCGATTTAAGGGTTTCTTTACAATGAGGCTGCTTTTTATTTTGCTTTATCTTTGTTTTAACTCATAGCATTGAATTTTCTTATGCTTCAAGGTCTGTAGTGTTGCAGCCAGGGTTTAATTTGATGGTAAGTCCGCATGCACACTGGACGTTTTTATAGCTGCTATTTTTGGCTTTTGGCATTTTTTTTTTTTTTCTACAGCCAGTAAACTCCTTGGCATGTTCTCCTATGTGTCCATGCACACACAGGCTGTAATCCGCGTTTTTGACTGGAAAAAAAACCCAGAACTAGTGGTTTTCTAGAGGAGTTTTTTTAGCTGGAAAAATGCAGCAAACCAGAGTTTTCGAAAGTTTTTTTGATCAGAAAAAAAACGCAGCTAAACGCTAATGCAAAAAACCGCTGAAAAACTTGCATCTGTAAAGTGAATTTGCACAGCTAACACTAAGCATTACTAAAACGTCCAGTGTGCATGGAGCCTAAATAGCCATTTCGATACAGACTGCCTCCAGTAGTCAACTATATAGAGCAGAGTATAGTGAACGGTACAGCTGCTGCAGAGCCTCTTGGAACTGCAGCAGTTGCTGTTCTGCATGATGCCATCCCACAGCTTAGGAGAGTATGATGTAAAGACATACAAGCCTTTTATTAACAACTCTTCTTCTTCCAAGTATTTGTGCAGCAGCTGAGATGCCATTGTTAAGTCCAGTGATCCTGGCATATCCCAATGCGCTCTATAAATACAGCGAGAATACCATAGGCTAAACCATGACCTAATAACTGCCTAATTAAAACCTCTTTAGTCTTCAATGTAGTCAATAATTATAATGATTTCTTGTCTTTTTTTTTTTTTTTTTTTTTTCTTCCTACCAGATCAATAAATGTTCCTATTAGAAGAATTGGTGTGTTTGCAGTATAACTGTTTCAAAATGATTGCACGGTTGTTACAGTCCAAAATAATTGTGCTGCATTTTCTTTAAAGTTACAATTTAACAGCTGACATGCTCCAAGTTTTATACTTTTGTAGTGCAGTCTAAACTTGCTTTCCATTGTTGGGCTGCAGCAATTATATATGCAGTAACACTACATTAATGGTTTCTAGTTAAACCAATAAACACTTTCTATGTACTTGCCTTGCAGCAGGCCCCCCCCCCGTTTATCGCTTGGTCACACAACTTTGCACTTCACACAGTGCAAATTTCGGTGGATTTATATACATTTTTTAATTATTAAAATTTTCCTTAAAATCCATGCAGCCATAGCTTTATTTAATATCTAAAATCCAGCATTACTGAATTTTGTTAAACCTGCACCAACAGGTGCTTGAAGGTAGTCCAGATCCAAAATCGGATTGTATAATAAATTAGACATGCGGTCTTTTAGCTTTGATTGTAAAACGGTGGTAGTTTTTAGTAGTGCGTTTCTGTTCTTTTCAGTAGATGTCTTTTTGAAAACAATCTTGAGTTACACCTTGAGCCTTACTGGCTTCAGCTCAAGAACTCCGTGTTGACAACTAAATTTATGGCGATTTGTGCCTAAAAAAGAACTCACTGATGCTCTACCATGGCAGGAGAAGACTTGCATAGGACAGCATTTTGCTGCAGAAACAGGCCACTTGTTTACTAGTGAAGTGAATTTGTGAGCAAGGAGCAGTAATGTCTCTTGCTTCTTTTTCCTTAACTCTAGTACTAGGTAAAGTTTTAGGATCTTTTTATGGGCCCATTCTGATCCTTACAAGAAATGCTAAATGTTTTCCACACAAACCAAGAGTATCTTCTCTCTAAAAATTCTATAAAAGTGCAGATATGGGTCAAACCCGTGGGACCTTAAAGGAAAGTCTATCCCTTTCACACACCCTAGAACATCACTTTACTGTGAAACAGGCCAATGGCGATTCATAGTAAGATTTCAATCACTTGATTGATCAGTCAAACCAATTTCAACATGTTCAACTGCTATGAAAGTAATATGAGGGCCATTGTTCTGCAGGCAACAAAATTAATAAAACGAATGGACCTATAACACACTTGTTTGTGGATTTTTTTTTTAATGTGCCAGTCTTACTGCGTAAGGCCTGCTTTGTATTCCAGTCATTTGTAAATATATTTTTTTGCATATGTCACAGGCCATTGGAACATATCTTGTAATAAATGTGTAAATCTGATAATAGCAGTTTTTTCCCATTTTTTTTTTTTCAATTGCTACCCCATAGCAACCATTCAGAATGTACTACTAAAGTTAGAGAAGTACTAAATGTATTCTGACTGGCTAATATGTATACTGCACTTTTCTATGGTTTGCGCCTTGCACTTTAGTGAATAAGCGCTGGTGTGCTATAGTGCTTTATCGAGTTCACATGCAGTTAGCAAGCCAACTTTGTAATGCTAGATAAGAAAAAGAGAAGTCAAGGAACTGTTGGTGGAAAACAAGGATTTATTGCCACCATTAAACATAACAGTAGAATCGGTGGGCAATTTATTAGTGAAGGAAAAAAGGGGGGCAAATTCAGAAAGGTTATACTGGTAAACATAACTGAACTTCAGATTTGAACAGAAGAGCAAATCTCTATATTGATTCAGTTTTGCTTTAACTCAACAGATTCAGAATTTGCTCTCTCGCTAACTGTTTTTTTTTTCTCTTTTCTCCATTTAGAAATGCCCTGTATTCAAGCACAGTATGGAAGTCTGTCCCAGTGTGCAGGCACCAGTGACAGTTATGTACCAGACATCTTAAACTCAGAGTTTGGTAAATTCACCATGGACCTTATTAACAGTGAATTTGCAGCTTCCACATCTTTGCCTAGTTTCAGCACCTTCATGGACGGTTACACTGGAGAGTTTGATGCTTTTCTTTATCCTGCTACAAATCCACAATCTTCACTGAAGGTTGAGGAGTTTCAAGTGTTCGGCTGTTATCCTGGTTCTTTCACTAATCAGTTGGATGAAACCATGTCATCAAGCGGTTCGGATTATTACGGTAGCCCATGCTCTATCCCATCTCCATCTACACCAGGTTTCCAGAATCCTCCTCTAACCCCATGGGATAGTTCTTATGGTGCCTACTCTCCTACTCAAAGCTATGATAATATGCGGCCATGGACAGAGCAGCAGAAAACCGGCATTCCTCAGCAATCTTTTTTCTCCTTTGGGACACCAGCTCATAGCCCAAACATGGCTCCCAATACTTTAAAGATGAGTCAAGCTCCACACAGACTTGAGCAGCAGGTTGTGGATCCAGATGTGTTTGCAATGGCACAAAACTCTCCAGCAGGATTTTCATCTATCCCCATTGGTCAGGGGCCTGTGGTACTGGACAACTCTGTTTTATTGGACAGCCCCTTATCTCCATCCAAAGCACGCAGTCCCAGCTCAAATGAGGGTCGTTGTGCTGTCTGTGGAGATAATGCTTCTTGTCAGCACTATGGCGTACGAACCTGTGAAGGATGCAAAGGCTTTTTTAAGGTAAGTACTGAATGTCGTTTAATGTGCAATGGTTTTCTGTCATTGCTTAGACTTGGTCTTGATTGCCTCACCTGTTGGTCGCCCTGGGTGCTGGATGCCCTGCAGACTTGGCAGGCAGTCCTGGCACAATCTCTTGGTTCTCAGCCACCCAGTCTTTGCGCTTAAGCTGATACGCGTTCCTGAGGATGAAGAAAGGGGGCTCGTCCCAAAACCGCTCTGTGGTGTTAAAAAGCAGCTGTCCTCCCCTGTGTACAGTTTCTTGGCTTGCTGCTATAGCAATTGATCATTTCTGCTGCCTTTCCCTAACGTCAACTGGAAGAATTGAGCAGGGGCAAACTCGGGATAAGATGGGGAACCCAACACCAATTAGGCAGCGGTTAGGGAACCAGAAGTTTCCATTAGGCAGCAGGTGCCGGAACGGTGTGAAATAAACTGCAACCTTAACCCCTGCAGAACAGAGAGGCCATAAATCACTTGAGCCGAAGGCCCTTACATAGTGGTTTTCTATTTGTGTTTAATCACTACATTTTGTGCAGCTGCACATTATATTGTACTTTTCTATTACTTGGTGTTAAACTTGGTGCATCAAATGCTCATAGTTAATGCACTTTTAGGCATGCGAGCATATCTGCTCTTTGCACTGTTGGCAACAGGGCCTTAGAAATTTTTTTGTTGTGATCCATTATTTTGGCATTGATCACTGGAGGTCATGTTTTCTAGGTAGAGGCAGGGGTGTATTAATAAGCAGCCATATAAAAGAAACCAACTAATTATTTGCAGCTAGGAGTCTAAAGATGCATGGAAATTGTGAGTGTTTTTTAAATACTGGTTTATAAATCGGATAAAGTGGAAAGAATTTCATGGAGAAAATAATTAACTTTGATTTGTTTTTATTTGTTTTTAGACTTAATTCAGTGGAATAGGTGATATCCTTCGTGATAATAGCCAAAAAAATAATTTTTCCATAATTCAAAATGATGAAGCTTATTTTATCAACCCTCTTCAGCAGGGTTTAGCAACCCTGTTGAGCACTTCCCTTTAAAACTGTTGTGGTTTCAGAATCATTAGACACAGCAGAATATTGAAAAAACATTATATATATATATATATATATATATATATATATATATATATATATATATATATATATATAATATATTTTTTTTTATTTTTTTTTTACAATTTCTAAAATTGTATACAATACTTTTATGTAGTCCTGTGCTCTTGTATGTAAATGATTTTGATCTCTGAATTTGACTTATTTTTTACCACCACAATTGAATTTTGGCCAGCACCCTATGTATTTTCAGTAATTTATCTCAATTCCTATTATAAGGCCACTGTCTACAGTTTCAGCCGCCCACAAAATAATTTGTTTTGCACTTTCTTGATCTGAATCCATGTGTGTTATAGGCAAATCGGGTGCTTTAGAAGAGATGCTTGGCTAATTAAGATAGGTGAATCGCTCTTTTTTGCTTAGAGCCAAATGTCAACTTGATATTAGGAACAGTCAGACACTAGAGAAATGTTACAAAAATAAATAGAACAGACAGGGCTTTGTGTCAGTCTGGCATCTTGCTTCCCCTGACAATTGTTCCTTTTTCTCCCCACAGAGGACTGTACAAAAAAATGCCAAGTACATCTGCTTGGCTAACAAGGACTGTCCCGTGGACAAAAGGCGCCGGAATCGCTGCCAGTTCTGTCGGTTTCAAAAATGCTTAGTAGTAGGGATGGTAAAAGAAGGTATGTGTTTTAACAGTATATCTTGAAAGTCATTCATTATTTGAAAAGTGGAAAGACAGTTGCATATGTTTTGATAAATAAGTATGTGTGTGATATAGATTATAGAATATATATATATATTATTTATATATATATATATGTGTGTGTGTTTAATAAAATATGCATGTAACTGTTCTGCAGCCGTGCATACCAACTATGTATGTCTGGGATTCCCAGTTGAAAAGTTCCCAGTACAGAAAAGGGGGCATTGAGTAAGATTAGGGGATTAGATGACATCCCGAAATTGGTTGGAATGAAGTAGAATCTTTACGAAGTTTATTGCAATTTTTTTTTTTTTTTTTCATAATTAATCAGCGTACTCCTATTGTTACTGTTTTTTGTAATTGGCTATATTGATTTTTCAGTTGTACGCACAGACAGCTTAAAGGGCCGACGGGGTCGCCTTCCATCAAAACCAAGGCAAGCATCTGATTCTTCTCCTGTTAGTCTTATTAATTCATTGGTACGAGCTCACATCGATACCATCCCCAATTCTAGCAATCTGGATTACTCACAAGTAAGTTGACCTGTCTATTTAGACCTGAAAAACTGTGCTGTCAAATGTTCATTGCTTTAGTATTCTGTATGCGGTTTGTCCCTAAAAATGCTGAAATGTTTTTGGAGCTTCCCGAAGCTATAACGGCAGGAGCCTTTTTTTTATTTTTTTTTCCCCAGCATATTTAAGAATTACTAGGTGTCTAGAAATTACATATACTTAAACGTACACCTTTTTATGAAGTAATGCATTCTGTAATGAAATTAAATTGGATATGCGTGTACTTAACATAGTGGAATTGAACATAACCGTTTTTATTTTGTTAAGTGCTTTAAAAGTTATTAGCAATGTATTTAACTTAAATTATTTTGCTTGTATTGACAATTCAAGTTGAAAGCACATTTTGCATTCGCAAAAGCCAGCGTGCATGTTTATTAGGCCATAAAGTGATTCTAAAGGTTCCGTTTTTTTTTCTTTTGGGAAAATAACAAACATGCTACACTTACCTAATGTGTGCAGTGGTTTTGCACAGAGCAGCCTGGATCCACCTCTTCTTGGGTCCCCTGCAGGCTCTCCTGGCCCCTCCCTCCTGTCGGGTGCACCCACAGCAAGCGGCCTGCTATGAGAGCACTCACTGCTCCGTGTGTCAGTTTACACACGGAGCCGCAGCTTGGCTCCACCCTGTCTCCCCATTGGCTGACTGGCTGTGAATGACAGCAGTTGGAGCCAATGGCTCCTGCATGCTGTCTCAGCCAATGAGGAGACCGAGACCTGGGACAGCCGAGGCTGTCGTTCACTTCGCTGGATCGCGATGAGGCTTAGGTAAGTATTGGGGGAGATGCTGCACACAGGTTTTTTACCTTCAAAAAATCTTGAGCCTTTACAACCACTTTAAGTGAATCTGTACTTCGGCAACAAGTTAATATTAACTTGGCCCTCCACAAGAGCATATGCTTTCCATTATTTCCCTCTACCAGTGCTCTGTTCTGCTCTCTGCTGCTAAGGAAATCCCTGTACAAATGAAGTCTCTAGAGTTGTATCTTACACTGATTTATGGACCTGTGACGGTACTGATTGGCCCAGCACTGTCACATGGAGAGAGTCCCTTACATTTTCATAACCAGAAGTGCCAGTATTTTCTTTGGCTTCTAGAGCGAAGAAATATAAAATTTAATATTGGTGGAGGATCAAAGAAAACCTTTTTTTTTTTCCCAGAATGGACAAAGTTCATGTTTCCTTTAAGACCTTTTTTTTTTTTAAATTTAGCCTTTTGGTTGAGTTTGGGAAGTTTTTGACTGTAGCACACTGTAACCCCTTATTTTTGTCCATAACAGTACCAAGAAAATGTCCCCATTCTGCTGGAGAAGGAGAATCCAGTTGACGTACAGCAGTTCTACGACCTTCTGTCAGGTTCTCTGGAAGTGATCCGCAAATGGGCAGAGAAAATCCAGGGTTTCATAGAGCTTCCTAAAGAAGATCAGGACCTCCTGCTGGAGTCTTCTTTCCTGGAGCTCTTCATCCTGAGGCTGGCTTACAGGTAAACCAGCTGTCACTTTCTGGGGCATGGTCTCATTTTGGGCTGCTAATCCTGTTCTGAACACTGGACAGGACATGCGGTAATATAGGAGCAAGAAGACTTTAACTACTTTAATGGAGAAATTGGATTCTCCTGTTGGAAAGAAAGCCAAAACAAACAGGAGTCAAAATAAAGGGCTATATTTATCACAGACGTTAAGCTCATGATCCTAAGTGATTTTCTGAGTTAAAGGGGACCTGGCCCAGAACTGTAATGGTTAGAAACATTTACAAACACCTCATATGCTGTATAAAATGTTACAGCTTTTGTTTTTTTTATAAGTGTACTGACTGTTGGAAGGCTGCAGTTGCTAGCTTCTTTCATAGCCCATTGCCTGGCCTTAATTTGAGTCACCAATTTAGAAAGAAGTATGAAGATTGGAATATCAGAGTAAAGTCTGAAATACTCAGCTGTCTAGGTAGTGACATATTACGGAAACCATTGGATGAGAACTGTCAGACAAATGGCATTTTCAGGAGAGCAGGTCAGCAAATGCAACCTGTGTATTCCCCAAACTGATTTAGTAAGGTGTAGCATATATAAATAGCCAGAGTGTGTTTTGAGTAGTTAGTGTTTTACCTTTTTCAAATAACTGGAAAGTAGTAGTAGTAGCTCAGAGCCAAAGTGTCATAGATATGCAGGCTCAGTTTCTTGTCTTGCTCTATGTAAATATGGCTTCCCATTTGTACACTTATAATTACAAAGTACACATCAGAGTAAGCATTTTAAAACACGCATTTTTGTAAGATTTACATCAAGATGAAGGTTTTTAAATGTTGAAAGATCAAAAAAAGCATTCAAACTTAGATTTTCTAACCTTTTTTCCTCTGAAAACTGCAACTTTTATTTAGATCGCTACAAGTTCCATGTTCTGACATTGAGTGCCGATGTTCAAATTGGCTGATCCTCCTAAACTGGACAATCAGAATAATAAGTTCCCCTTTCTTTCAGATCATTAAGAGCTAGTGGTAGCCATGATAATCCTCTGCTCACCCAGACCATTGGCAATTATAATATGCTGAGACAACATACATACAATGTCTTTAAATGCTTCCAAATTGGTATACCTTTTTTAGTGATTTATAAAATCCCTATGCCGAAAAAGTATTTACATTGCAGAGATAATTTTATTATTTTCAGGTTATAGTGTCAGTTAATATGTAAATGGTGCTAAGCAGAGGTCTTCAAATATAATTTGTGTGTATTAAACCTTTATGCATGAATATTTTGCTTACATTTTTTACTTGGTTGTGGCACTTATGAATGATTTTGGCCTAAGCAAACAGGGTTTTATTTACTAAGTCTGGAGAGTGCAAAATCAGGCTCACTTCTGCATAGAAACTAATTGTCTTCTAACCTCAGCTTGTTCAATTAAGTTTGGCAAAAAAAACCTGGAAGCGGATTGGTGTCTATGCAGAAGTGAGCATGAGTTTTCACTCTCCATTCTTGGTAACTAAACCTCACAGGGTCTTCTTAGTTTTCTTGCTAGGAAATTAAAGCAAACATCTTACTGATTGCTGAGTTGGGGACAGCACCTCTATTCCCCTCCCTTCAGGCTTATACACACCCATGCATTTATGTGGGGCAGAATTCTGTCTGTTTATAGTAATTCCATTGTTATGCAGTTAATGTATTAATTCCTTTGCGCATGTTCTGTATTTTGCAAACAGTTCGAAGCCTGAGGAAGGGAAGCTGGTTTTCTGTAACGGAGTGGTGCTTCACCGTTTGCAGTGTGTTCGAGGCTTTGGAGAGTGGATAGACTCAATCATTGAATTTTCGCACAGTCTCCAACGTATGAACATCGACGTCCCATCATTTTCCTGCCTCTCTGCCCTTGTCATCATCACAGGTAAATTATAAACTTTTGAATACGAGCTAATCTGTTTTCATTATGTGTTCTTGTAAAATTTCCACCATCTGGAATTTCGATTTATTGAATGTTGTATTCGTGTAGCCATAGGCTGCTAATTGTCAGGCCCTACAGCTGAGGGAGACATTTTTTTTTTTCAGTGTAATTATGTAATTTTTTAGGTCAGTATCTGCAGTAACAAAGATCACAGGAAAATCTGTCTGCACATACTGAATTCTTCTACTTGATCCCCTCCCATCCCCCCCAATACCACCCACTGAGCTCCTAAATTGTCACCATTGACGTATATTTTGCTGAGGCTATTCTGGTTACAGTATAGCATTTCAGCAATGCAGTGTCCAGTTATTACATAATTTCCAAATTGCATGTTATTTTTAAATGGGAAGTGTGTGCGTGCGCAATTGGGAAAGAACACATAATGCAGTCCCTGTAACTTAACATTTTCATACTGTTGTGTAAAATGTGTTTAAATACAACTTTGTTTTAGGACAGTGGTCTGTTCTTAGATCATTTTTTTAAATCATGGGAAAGTCATTAAATTTATCTACTTCTGTTTTTTGCAGATCGGCACGGACTGAAAGAACCTAAGAAAGTTGAGGAACTTCAAAACCGAATTATTAATTGCCTTAAAGAGCATGTGCCGTCCACATTGAGCGAGCCCAACCGATCTAACTGTCTATCCAAGTTGTTGGGCAAGCTGCCTGAGCTGCGCACCCTCTGCACACAGGGCCTTCAGCGTATTTTTTACCTGAAACTGGAGGAGCTTGTTCCGCCACCACCTATTGTAGAAAAGATCTTCATGGACACACTGCCCTTCTAAAACATTGCACTTTTCTTCTAAATTCAGAGAAAGGGAAACCCAAGCTCGTACAGAAGGTGGAGTATCTCGTTACAAACTTTTGGAACCCTTTTCTTTGACATTAGGTGCCTAACCAGTAGATTGTTCCTCATTGGGATCTTCTGGGTCTTGTATGAAGACTTTTTAATTATAATATTCTAGAAAAATCCAGTTGTGCCTTTGGCTAAAAACAGACTTTTTTTGTCCTTGTTTCACTTTTTAAGTATTTTTTTTTAAATACTTGCCGAATTCACGTGGTTCCTATACTGCCTTTCCTACAGCACTCCAAGATTGGACCGGACCTTTAGAGCAGACTCAAAAGCTTTAGGAGATGGGCAGCATATAGCCTGCCTTTTTTCCCCAGCTGTCTTTTGAAAGGGGCTATAAGGGACGGACCCAATTTCATTCACAGCCAGTTTTGTAAAGTCTTGTACATAAATGAAGAACGAACTGTATATAGTATTAAAAGGTTAAAAAAGTAAAGCTACTCCTTGTATTGGTCACTATGGATCCCACAGTGTTTTGGGCTGTGTGTATATATGTGTAATTTTTGAAAAGAAACATTTATATTTGTGTACCTTACTGGATTTACAGTATGTGTTTTTTTTCTGATTAATATATATTTAATATATTGAATAAAAAATGCTGTAATAGCAAACAGTGGTTCATTGGCAATAGTCTTCCTGTTCTTTTCCAGTGACCACTAAATTGTGGTGGTCTTGTTCAGACAATGCAGGACCTGTTTAGTAGGTCCCCAATTTGTGTTGGTGCTGGTGCAAATATTATATAAAAATGTCTCTCCCGGGCAAAAAAAAAACTTTCTGTATAGTACTGACCGATTGATTAACACTGACATTATATCCATGCCTGCCTATCCCTTTGAGTTTTCCTGTTGATCCTGCCAGTTTCTTTTAGTGCACTATATTTCTAGTGGCGTGCCAACAACACTTTTTGGCTGATGGTGACATTACTTAGTGCGTTATTAGCTCCCCGCTGTGCCTTTGCCTGTTCGCACCACATTATATTGTGGCTTATAGGTGCCTCCTGTTGCAGGAAGGAGGAAGTTCTGACAGACCAGTGCAGACCAGTCGCTACCTTCATTTGACTTGCATAAACAGCGAGTCTCTGTTGGCTTCCTGCAGTGACCTCTGTTCCCATCTGACCTATGCATAGCAGCTTGTGATGTTGAAAATCTTCACTCAGTAATTAAGATTCACTTTAAAGTAGTTTGTCAAATTCTATCTAAACCTAAACCAGCTTCCACTTCCATAATAACTACCCTGTAGAGCAGAGGTGTTCAGCCTGTGGCTCTCCAAGCCCTCAGATGTGGCCCTTGAACTCGCTCTGGGAAGAGCATGCCAGTGGTCGGCAACCCATTGATCACCATCTGGGCTTGCTGACTTGTTATCCCAGAGCATCAGAATGCATTGAGCGAGTGCTGGCAGAGGAGGAAGCAGGTGGTCGCAGACAGAGTAGAAGCCACATAAGCTGATGCTTCCTCTGTAGCGCCGGATTCTGTCCCAGGCAGAGTGTTGCCAAGTGCACTTTGCCTGAGACCTTTCTAGCAGCCTGGAGATGGAGAGCATTGCCAGAAGACGTGGGAAGAGGAAAAGAAGGTCCATGTATCACATATGCTGCACTTTTTGCAATGGGCATATTAGAACCTAGAAGAGGGTTAACAACTATTAGGCTGCTTTCCCACTGATCTGCGGGTGGATATAAAGCGACCCTTTATAAGGCTACTTTCACACTGATCCACTGCAGTTTACCCGCACCGTGGGTTCAGCGCAGTGCACCTGCGGCTTTCCTGTGAGTTGGCTGCACTGAGCCATACACTTCTATTATATTCTGTGGGTTTGGTGCGCTTTCTGAAAACATACCAAAACTCTTGAATGCAGGAATTTTGCTGTGCTTTCAGAAAGTGCACCACACCCACAACATATAATAGAAGTCTATTGCAAAGAGCAGCTTGCCTACAGGAAAGCCCCAGGTGCAGTAAAACCCCATAGTTTAGATGGTTTGGGGCAGTAAAACCCCATAGTTTAGGTGGGTTTTTACCACCCCCAACCAATGGTGTAGTGTGAGGAGTCATAATGGCGATCCCACCCCATACTCCAGGGGGTCCGTGTGGCCTCCCTGTTGCATTCTGTTTTACACTTGGACTGGAGGGGTGGTGGGGGCAGCAATATACAAAACTTGATTCCCTCCATTTTCCTCCTGCAATTGCTGAAAGCAGTCTTCTCTCTCTCCTGCAGGCATCCAGTGGCTGCAGGAGGAAAAATTTCTTTATTTAAAATTCAAACATTCTGAACCATTTAATTTCATTGTGGCCTGCAGCCAGTTACCAAATCACATAAGTGACCCTCGCACTGCCAAAAGCTTGAACACCCGTGCTCTAGAGGAACAATATGAATACTTGCCTATTCCCTGGGTGCTCCAGTTTGGTCATGTGGTCTCCCCAGTGGCCAGCTTCAGTGAAGAAGAGATCGCCAACAATGGCTGAAATGTCTATGCAGTAATGTCACCCATAGACTTACTATGAGGCACCCATTGTCAGCAGTTCCTCCTTTACCCTGAAGCCAGCACTTGGAACCAATCTTGTGACCCATTTCTGCACGATTGGTTATTCAAAGCAAACACAGCTACAAGTTGAGTGCAGAATTTTAATTCCATTGGTAAATTAGCCTCCCTATCTTACAGGAAACATGCACAGAGGCAAACATGGAGGCTTTCATTGCTGACCTTTTTTTTCTAATAAAAACAAGTTGCCTGGCTATCTTTAGTTTTTGATACTTTAGGTCACTGATGGGAAACTGCATGTAGAATAGAAAAACTGAAGTTCAAATTCCTTATCTGTATACATTTTTGTGCTCCATGCCACAGCAAATATTAAAGCTACTGGATCAACATCACAGCCAGGTTTGGAATGAGAGGTTGGCTAATGCAGCTTTCATATTTTTCTCTACAGATTTCCTTTTAGATAGGACCAATAAAATATTTAGTGTGGATGGTTGTGATGGCAGGCCGTGTGTATTTTTGGTTGTCTTTACAGCCCTGCTGTTTGTATCCAGCACCAAAGGGTTTCGTCATTGATTTTTCTCTTCTAGCTGCTCCTGTTTCCAGCTGCCAGAATTGTGTCAACCTATTGATTCCAATTAAGAAATCCTCCAGCACAGATAGGTGAGAGCAGCCTCTCAAGCCTCTATCTAAAAACAATGTCCTAAAGGCAATTTTTTCTTTTTTTTTTTTTTCTTTTCTTTAAAAATCTGTTCCCATTTAAGTCTACCAAAAATTACATTAATGACTGGAGGGTTTTTAAACTTATAGCATAAAGTGCTCTACCACGAAGCACTTATATTCTACTGTGTTGCCAATGTAGCAAAAATTCAAAGTATGTATGAAAAGTCAAAAATCCAGTGTAGAAAGCACATCCATAAAGAATCTCTATCAACTAGCAGCGTAAAACTGTTAATCCAATTAATGCATGGGAAAAATAACAAATGAAAAAAAAAACATTGCTATAGATCTCCATTGCATGCCAATTTCCCCATGTCTGTCTTTGATAATACAAGTACAGAAATATATGCATCTTGTGTCCCTGTGCCTTTTTGGAATGGATGGCCTCCACCATAACTGCTTGTATATATTTATTAGTTTGCTAGTTAGATGGCAAGTGTGCTCAGAGATACTTTGCTTTGGTTAAAATAAACGGGAATAAAGACCTGAAAAAAAATAATGCAGCTACCACATCCAAGGACTGGTATGTTGCAATACATTTTTGTTTTTTGGGATTAGATGCACATTAAATGCCTCTTGACACTTTGTCCATTTTCTTGCAGTAAAACATAAATTTTACTAAATTAAATGCGCTATATATATTGAGTTGGCCCACCCTTTGCAGATACAACAGCTTCAACTCTTCTAGGAAGGCTGTCCACAAGGTTTAGGAGTGTGTCTATGGGAATGTTTTTGACCATTCTTCCAGAAGTGCATTTGTGAGATCAGGCACTGATGTCAGATGAGAAGGCCTAGCTCGCAGTCTCCACTCTAATTACGAAGTACCCAGAGGAAACCCACGCAGGCACATTGAGAACATGCAAACTCCAGGTAGGTGGTGCTGTGGCTGGTATTCAAACCAACGACCCTAGTACTGCCAGGCAGAAGTGCTAACCATTTAGCCACTGTGCTGCCTATATATATATATATATATATATATATAGTAAACCTGTGTTCAAGCAATGTCATTTTCTGCAATAAAATGCTTACATTCTGGCACTGTACATGTGTGCTGGGATGACTGTACTCCTGGGATGAAGATATTGTCTTCAGTGAGGGACCTTAGACGTTGACGTAGAGATAAGTATTGCAGACTTTAGTGATGATACTTTCAAAACAGTAACTGATTTTCTGAGTCCAATGAAAATTACAGTTGTAATTTGAAAAAATGTCTTCTAAATCATACCATATCTCTAAGAGGAAATGTGAAGTAATATATTTCATTTATAAAGCGCACCTTAAAACTTGCCTCTACATCCTTATAAGGCCTCATGTTCACTGCAGCTGCTAAACTGACATTTAGGAGTAGTTGGGCGGTTTTTTTTGGCCCTTGAACTCTCCTCCTCTGTTCTACTATGTATCTATAGTTTTTTTTTAGAGTTGTTTAGAGGGCTCTGAGTTTACTGTCATTTCTCTGAAAGGACAAAAACTGCATTCAGGAGAAGTTTACTGGCATTTAAACCGCCAAACACACCTAAATGCCGTGTGTGTTTAGCACTTCAGCATTTATTAATTTCAGTGCCCAGAATAAATAAAATTTGTGGCCAATTAAATAAACTCCCAATCAACAAATGCTGCTAAACTCACCTGAACTGTTTTGAAAAAAATGCAGCTTACGTGAGTTCTTAGATGCACACAGGACATTAAAAAAACTCTCCTAGAAGCCTTCCTCCTGGCAGCATTTTTGCAGAAAAAAATTCCTGACG